GAGGTATCATAGGTAACATGAAGGACTTGTGTAGGTACATACATAACAAAAGAATGTCTAGGGAATGTCTTCTGTACATGGGCCTGCTGCTGAATGGGGCAGGGCCCTGGTGATATGGGATATGGAAAAGGCTGAGGCATTGAACGCTCTCTGTCTTTACTAGCAATATCAGCCTTCAGAACTTGGTGAAGTTCAACAATGGGAAGTGTGAAATCCTGCACCTGGGAAGGAACAACCCCACACTGAGGGCCACATAGCCATAAAGCAACTTGCAGGAAAGGACCTGCTTGTCACCAAGTTACACATGAACCGTAGTGTGCCCTTGCAGCAAAGAAGGCTAATGGCCCCCTGGCCTGCATTAGGAGTACTGCCAGCAAGCGAAGGTAGTGATCCTGCCCCTCTACTCAGCAGTACGAGATATGGTCATACTGGAGAGGGAATGCAAAAAAGGTCCTTTAAAATGATGAAGGGTCTGGAGCTTTTCTGTCTCATCAAAGTCTGAGAGGGCTGGGACTGTTTAGCCTAGAGAAGACTCAGGGGGGTCTCATCAACATGGATAAACATCTGAAAGGAAGGCTCAAATAAAATGGAGCCAAGGCTCTTTCAGGGGTGTCCAGTGACAGGACAAGAATCAATAGGCAACAACTAAAACACAGCATCTAAACATGAGGAAAAACCTTTTCACTGTGAGGATGACTGACTATAGGTTGCCCAGAAAGACTGTGGGGTCTACATCCTTACAGATATTCAAAAGCTGTCTGGACATGGTTCCAGGCAACTTGCTCTTGGTGATCTCACTTGAGAAGAGGATATAATGCCTTCTATTACATGCTTTTATTACAAACACTGTAACTTGATGATAGATTTTTCATGTTACAATAAGTTTCACAAAATTGTAAAAGCAAGATGATTAAATTGGAGATGTTAACTAAAGGCTTCCATTGATTTTACAAGTGATTTGGCTCAAGGAAGTATTATCAGGAAAAAAATGCAGAATAAATCACAGTATATTTAACTAAAACAAAACTCATCCACCTCCTGGATCAATGTATAAAATAGTATGTGTCTGAGGCACATAAGGAAAAACATCTTTTAATTCTATACTTAGATACTATTAAATCTCAGGTTAACCTATGCATCACTGTGTGTTCCTAACCACAATCAGAAAACTGGTTTCTTAGGTTCTTTATTCTGACTCTACAGTTTAATGTGAAAGTAATCTCAGATTCCCCACTATGATTTATTTTACAACTCTTCTGACAATAACTACAGCTCTTCTGCATGTTTCACGTCACATAGTTTCCCTTATCCCACATGTACGCATATGGCTCCCTACCAGGTACCAGGACAGGCAGGACAAGCAAATTCAGACCAAGAACAGACAGGCTTATCAGCTGGCAGGTCAAATAGTATTACTTATTTGGCCTTTCCTACCTACCTGTATTTTCAAAACTTTTCAGGAATTTAAATGCAACAAGGGCTCTGCTCTGTCAGAGTTTGACTGAAATTGGCAAGTAGGCAGAAATGTTATTAGGGAAGAACTGACTAAACCACAAGCAAATGAACCACATAAACAAACCTGCCTGGGGAACTTACAGACTCACAAGCTGCCTATCTTTTGCTTCTGCGTATGAACAACTGCCTTAGACTGGGTGGCTACGTATTGCCCAAGCCCAGGATTTATAAACAAAGTAGAACAGAAATCAACACAAAAGCTGGCTGATTGTTCAAATACAGCACTGAGCTCCTACCCTTCCCTGGTTGTGTAAAACTGAAATGAGCTTAAGGATAGAGGCAAGAATGGCAGAAATCTGATCGCTTATTAAAGTTTTAAATCACTGAAGTACTTGCAGAGTTAACTCTTCAGCTATCCTAAACAGCATACCGATCCCATCTTAGTTACCTTACCCCTGGTTTTAAAGGAACCCCTAAATGTTTCCTGTTCTGCACAGAGAGCAAAAACTAGACACTCCCAGGGGCACGAGATAAACTACTGAAGTAATATGCTCAAAAAAGGGAAAAATCTTGAATCTAGATTGCTAAAGTGTCAGAAGGAGAAAGCATAATTGATAAAAAAACATTAATTATTTGCTTAGCATGTGTTTTTTTCCATTCTCTCATATCAACTCTAGCCATTTCTTAAGAGAAGTACAAAGCTATGTGTTGTACTATTGCATGTAGATCTCAGATTAAGATGCAATCATTTATCTATTGCTCTTCTTCATTAGTTCAAAGTTCTAAAAATTCTTTACTTAACTTTCAATATTTGTAAAAAATAATTTTCATTCATTGAGCTTTTAAACTGTCAAACAACAGTAATGTTCAAATATTCACTAAAACTATCACTTAATCTGGTTTAAGTACAATTGTCCTTGAGCTGAACCATCAGACAATTTCTTATGCAAAGGTGCAACTTAAATTTGTATTTATCAATTACAAAAACTATCAGGAAGTGAGAGGACGTACAAAGTGAAGTTATTTTACTTATCACTTGATCTGCCCACACACTTATAAACTCGTAGACTAATTCTAGTTAATTACTTTGATTTCCTTGAAAAATACTTCCAAGTTTAAAATGCTAAGGTGCTTGGTGAAGATCTTGCCAAGACATAGCAACTTATGATAACATATTGAAATGCCCTACCACTTTAATGCTGTCATTATAGTTTGAATGCAAAAGCTTGTGATTACATTTACATTCAAAAATATAATTTCCCACACTGCATGTAAAAGAGCAAGATTTAAACTTTGATTTCATCTTTGGCAAGGATGAAGTGATCATTTAATATTCAAAAGTATTTATTTTTAGAATATTAGAATACATTTTATCTATCTACCAGACAAATGTACATGGATCTAATGAATTACCAACATATAATGCTTCACAGCAAATGTCAGGCTAATAGCTTATTTGTGCAAAAGTCAACACATAACATCTACTCTGCTAATGAGTAAGAACTTGCTTGCAAATAATCCAACCATCAAAACCACTGATAAAAATCTCATTTTCCTATGAACTTCTACATCTCCTCTCCACATACACAGTAATTGTAAACTTTCAACTAATTTGCTAATTCAGCCATATGACTATTTGTATTCTTTACAGTTCAGGTTAGTAAACCTCTATGGACTTGAGTCTTGTCTTACTCTACACCATGAGTATACATCATATGACACAGACAGGTGCTGTGAATATTTAATCCATTTTAAGATATACTTTAGCCTGATTTTGACAAGTTCTATTGGTTCTGAGATTGAGGCTACAGTAAGTCCCAGAATGGTATGAACTTTTTTTATTTGTAATGAATGATACTACTTCCAGCCAAATCAATTCAAACCTGTTCTAGACAGATCATATCATCATTGTCCTTTATTAAGTTCGTTTCAAGAGAGTCAATACAATTATAACAAAAATTATTTGCTATTTGTCAAAAGTATCAGCTAAGGCAGTGAGACAAGCCTATCCACAAACATTTTGAAAGAAATTAAGGCAGCATTCAGTCTACCTTAAATTTCACTGTTTTACCAAAACATCCTGTACAATTTTGTGAACAGTCTTCCATTTACTCTGAAAATCTGATGGACGCTCTTAGAAGAATCCAAGCTACCACTCAAAACTTTTTCTTTTATGTATATCCTGTTGTTATGGAAGACGTCAGGATTTTTAACATCAGTTGCACTTAGAACTGCTAGAAGAGGTAATTAATTGGCAAAGTATTCCTCTGAACAGATTGAAATCAATAATCAACTTTACAGAAATTTGTCCTCTGGAAAAATGCCAGCAAAGTCTGTAAGACATAATTAAAAATCAGCAGCCCTGCTCAATGATTAGTCTACCTTGCAATACAATGGGAATAAAGATATGTACTACAGTGATCAACCTTTTCAGTTCCTTCTCTTTGTAGTACATTTATTTCAAATCCCTTTCAATTTTCATGCCCAGTGTAGAAAGGATGCAGGTCTGCACAAATTCTGACAGCCTGGAGGAGGTTGGCTATTTTAGTAGGTGGAGCTACCACATTCTGAACTACTGCAAAGTCGTGAAAACACAAAACCTGTTCACAAAGTAATTTCTGAGGAACCTTAGCAGGTCTAATAATTTTTAAAGCTCAAGAAAGGGTTGGTATCATCTATGGTGGTAGATACCAATAAGGATATTTATGATGGAAACAATGTGACTGACCATGACAAGAACAGGGAGAAAGACCACTTCTCTTCTGTATTTATATCACATCTAAAGGAATTTATCAACATTTCCAAAGCAGAGATCTCACAGTTGAGAAAGCAGATTTTTTTTCACTTTAGTAAAACCTAGTATTTCTAAATTAATTGGATTGCTTTTGTCACCCTTAGCACTTATTTTTCAGCAGTATTTTACTTTATAGAGAGTTCAGATAAAGCTAGATTCTTGCATGTATTCATGCTTTCAGCATTCTTTTATCCTTTTCCTTTGTGCAAATGTCAAAGCTATTCCCTTTGAAAATTACTTTTGCTTGGAACAGTCTTACTCCTTTCCTGTTAAAAAAATGAAATGAAGTGAAACCCAGTCAGTATTACTGGAGTGATGAGATTTGTGCATTTGGTGGGCCTTTATTCATAAGAATTTCTATAAAGAAGTATTTTCTCTAACAGACTCAGTATAAATTTTCCTGTTTTTCCTATAATGATTAAAAGATTCAAAGGCTTCTCATGCATTTTGAAAAGATAAAAATTGAACTTTACAATAATGCTGACAGCCTCCTATAAGGCATGCTTTGATAAAGAGCACCAGTGCTGAAATCGCATGAAATTGGTCCAAACACCAGCATGCAAAGCCCACATGAACAAAGCCATTGCTGCTTATGCACACTTGCCAGAAAGAAGCTTTTACAAGATGTAGTATATAAGACAAAAAAGAGGATGAAGTTTCAGGTGTAAGGAAGACTATGTAGCCTTATGGGCTAAAATCACATTTCTCGTAGCATAATTTACTGTTAGAACTGAGTAAATACAATGCTTACCTATAACACCAGAATCATCTCTAGTTGTTCAAAGAATCAAGTAGTTCCATTCGTCCTCTTCTTTCCAAAGAATTGAGGTAGCAGAAAAAAACTCTAGAGGCAGAAAAATAACAGTGTAAACAAGTAAGAGCCACCCACTTGAGGGGAGAAACAAAGGAATAATCTCAAAAGCAGACTCCTGACTCTGTTCAGATAGAAGAAATTATTTCAATTTGTTCTGTGATTCTTACACTTACTGATAAGAAGATGCTAAAAATGTGTCACTGCACAACTGTCACCCTCATTCCTTCCACAACTTCAAGTTACACAACAGAGACTCACAAAAAAGAGGGAAAATTAATATGAAATGTGAATATGTAAACTCTAATGAAATACTAGTTTCCAAAGACAGTACCTCTTGAAAAAAAAAAAAACAAACATTAGTCCACTGTCACCCTTATCTTCAATTCCTTCTCTGAAGGGAAAAGCACCTAAGCTGAGCACTGGTGCCAAAGAGTAACACTGACTGCATTGATGAATAAAGACAAGCACCACCATTAAACACACTTGCCTAAATGGAGCAGCTCTATAAAAATTCACACTTACAGTGGTTCTCAACCCTTACCTATGTACAGGCCACTAAAAATTTTCTTACCGAAGTCAGACTTTACTCAAAAAATCTAGCCTGCTGAAATAGTATGTATCTCCTTTTGGCTTGGCACCGAACAAATTACTATATGCACTTTGAAGTGAAAGAAAGTAGCCTTACATGATACCTGCATGCATATGATACCTAATATGTAACCTCTCATGGTCTGATCTTTCTTACTAGCTCCATTAACCTTGCAGGTCTCTGAGGGTAATACCACCTCATTCTTGCATCTGGAGCACATCACCTCATCTCTCCCATATGACTGTTTTTTAAGGCTATACAGCCAAATAATACATGTGGTAAGCATTGCCTTGCTGGTAACTTTGAATGAAAGATTCCGTTTCTATGACAAAAAGCAAGCAGTGGATAGTCAGGTTTGTAACTTCTTCACTTTTCTACTTGGCAAGACTGCTGCAAGGAAAAGCAATTTAATTGCTATGGAAAGAGGAAATTGTAAGAATTTTGTAAGGGAAATGTAAAATCATACTATAATTTCCTAAGACCTGTAGAAATTTTCATCATTGAGTCATGTTATGTCTGAGTAGGTAATCGCCTTTACTTATATATCATGAAACACTGAATTATATCAACAAAGCCACAAGACATAAACATAAGCAAACAATAGTCTTTATAAAAGCACGGTTGATACAAAACTCTAGAGTTGGAACAAGTCCACCAATATGAATTGTCATTGTCAACAACAGCTTGCACTTACTGTTTGACCATAATGGTCAAATGGAAGATTTTCTTTACCTTTACTTCAATTCTTTTCTATTTTAAATTAGCAGTTATTACATTTCTGTGAAACACAATGTTAGCCTACTGCCATGGTGTAAACATGCTGCCTTTGGTAGTAGACCTGCCCATGCAGAGGACATGACTGAGGGATGGATGGTTCAATGAAGTTGACAAATGGCAGAGGAAAACACTATTTGACTTAGATTAGGGCTATTTATTATTATTATTTTATTTTTATCTTAGTATTGTTCAGCAAGGGGAAAATGGGAAAAACAGAAAACAGGAATACAATCTGCCCTATCAGGAATGCACCTATGAAGTGCAGGACCAAGGAGCTTTTATTTTTTTTTTTCTTTTTAAATATTGATCCACATATGCCCCTGGAAATTCCCAGGCAAAAAGACCTTTATGACAAATTACCAGATTATTTCTGGCAAAATTGATGAATTGCTCGTGAAGATACCTCGTGTTATCTGTTTTTAAAAAGGATGCACCCATCCAGCACATACAGTTTGTCTAGATAGAAAAACTACACCAACATTACCATTAATTCAGATTTTTATTCCTGTTCATGCTCGTAGAAGACCTGAGCAATACCTTTTTTCTTCAAAAGATGACTGTATTTGGAATTTAGCTCATGTAATTTCATAATCAACTTTTAAGTAAGAGAAAGGAACAAAGCCAAGCCTTTCCTTTCTACAGTTCTGACATTACTGCCCAAACAGCCGACCACAAGCCTCGAGCGGCTGGGCTTCAGATGGGCTGCCCCGCTGCTCAGGAAGCTCAACCAGTCCGCGCTCAAAGCTCTAAGCCACAAAAACACTTTAAGGAAAAACATAAACCAGTAATGTATATAATCAGCAGCTGTTTGATGTTCAACATTTAGACTTCTTTTTGTTCCCCGTGTAATAACGCCGCTCCCCATGTAGTGAGTTGGCAGTCAGTCGCTGTTCTAATCTGTTCGACCAGTCTCAAATGAAAAAAAAAAAATGTTTTCCATTACTTCATACTGTGATGGTGAAGGTTACGAGACATGGGGTTAAGTCTCCGAGAGCTGTGTAAGTGCACTTCTACCAGGTCTCCGCTCTGATCGCTTTGAACCGAGCCGGCCACGGGGGCTGCCCGTCTCGGCGGGACCGGACCCCGCGCCGTCTCCCGCCCCGCCCCGCTCGGGCGGTACTGCCCCGAGAGCCGCAGCTCCCGCCGGGCCCCGCTCAGCCCGGGCAGCCTGCACCGGCCCCGCCGGGCAGCGGCCGCAGCCCCCCTCCACAGCCGGCCGGCAGGAGGGAGCCCGGTGGCGGTGAGGGCGAACCCGCCCCCACCCCTCTCAGACGCCGGCCCTCGCCCTCCTCCTCCTTCTCGCTTTCTCCTCCCCCTCCCGGCAGCCGCGGCCCCCTCCCCTCGCTGCCGAGCCCCCACAGCCCTTCTCACCTCTCACGGTCCAGGAAGGGGGCGCGGCTCGGAGGGGGCGGAGAAAGAAAAAAATCGCAAGGAAGGCCCTCGCACCCTCTCCCGTCCCCTCCCGCGCCCTCTCCTCCCGCCCCGCCCGGCGGCCGCCAGCGCTCTCGCTCCGCCGGGAGCCGCGGGCCCTGGGCGCTCCCGCCCGCCGCTGTCGCGTCCCCGCGGCCCCGCTGCGGCCCCTCCCTGCGCTCGGGCGGCGCGGGGGGGGCGGGGGCACGCGGGACACCGCCCCCTGCCCGCGGGCCACGCCCCCCGCCCGGGGCGGGAGCGGCGCGTGGCCGCGCGCGGCGGGGCGGGGCCGCTCCCTTCAGGTTGGGGTAGGGGAAGCGGCAGAGGCGGCAGTGTCTGCCTCGTCGTGGCCCTGGGTGTCTTTGTCTTTCTTCCAAAAGCACAAAGCCAAACATTTCCGTAGCTGCTCGCTGCCTCGTTTAAGAGAAATAAACCTGCGGTAATACACACCACAGCCTTTCAGGACCCTCTGCTCGATGTTGAGGCAGCCGGTCCTAACTGCTTCGTGCAAACACGCGGCCTTTCCTGCCCTCGTCATGCAATGCCTTACCAGTGACCGCTGGATGCAGAAGTTGAATAATTTTCCAAATTAATCGGCTGTGTGACAGCTAGATGCACTTCCAGCTGCTCAAACTCATTTAGGGTGCAGGAGGCCATTGCTGAGGCATGGTGGTGCAGGTTTGATGCAGTAATGAGATACACAGCGTTTGCCATGCCTCGCCCTGCACGGAAACACGGCCTGGCTACGCGCTTCGCCTGTCTGACAGTTCTCATCCCGGCTGGCATTAAATGACTGAGCCGGTTTTAACTAAACTTGACAGAAGGATGGGGGTTTCAAAGATGCTAGTTGTTCCAGCTGTGTAAAAATTACTAGCTGGGTGGAAGGAAGATTATCTCAAAGAAAGACAGCTCATGTTTTCCAGGTTGCTGTGTGGCCAGGCCACACATACACAAATGCCCAAAGGTAGCAGTGTCTAAAGCTTATGGTGTCCCGGAGGGATGTGCAGACAGATCATACATGGGCACTCTGAACTCGGAAACAAAACTAAAATCTGCTATTACAATACCATTAAAATAGATACACCCCATCAGCTTACTGCAGACTTCTTGGAAGCCGCCTTCTGTAGAATCTGATGTATTCCAGAGGTTAATACTATATCAGCCTGAGCTTGGGTGGAATCCTAGAGGGCAATATATATTCTGACCTTGGGCACTACCATCAGTGGTGATAGTGTGTATCAGAAAGAGACAGATACATATAGTACTTGAAAAGTCCTCCTGCTGTTTTCCAGTATTTTCTCCATTTCTTCTGGGCAGATAGGATGGGTGAACACCATACAACACTGAAAACAGGAAAATATAAATAACTGATATGGAAGACACTTAAGGGGGAAAACAAATTAGCAAAAACAAAGTAGAGCTAAATTACTAATGGATTACATATAAGACATAATGTTTTCCTTTTAAACTCATACCTATAATTTTTTGTATCCTATTGCTTCTATTATACCATACTGTCAAAAAAATCAGAGTTCATTTTGGTTTGATTTGATTGCATGAAAGTGATACATTTAAATATCATATTAATAAATTTATATTCACTGCAGCTTCATTCAAACTCTTTCTATAAAATAAATACTGTATTTGCTTCCACTTGCCTTACTCATCTTCTGAGATAACTAGATGACAAGAAGAGCATTTTGAGTTTGTAGGGCACTTCTTATTTAAATTTCAACAGTAGTTCTTCATTTGGGTAGTGCTCAATATTTAATAGCTTGTGGGAAAAACAACTTCAGAAGGCATCTTTCTGAATTAATATAATCCTTTATACTTTATTACTCTATATTTGAGTAATTTGTTTTTACATATGCATTATTTACAGTATTTTTATTCAGAAGATTTCAGAAATGTTCTCGCAGTCTCATCTATAAGAAAAATTTATAAAATGTCATGGTGGTTGTCAAAATTAAATATTTCACTTTTAACTGGAAAGTTTAGCTGAAAAATTGTGACTATGATGAATAGAAATAGCAATGGCTCTATCCAGTCTTCTTGAACAGTAAAATAGATATAAAAATAGAAAGAATAGTAAAATTCAAACTGAAGACACTTGACAGATTGGCAACACATCTGTCATCTTTTAAGAACACAGCAGCAATGATAATATGAACAACTCATCCTCAGTTCATTGTACTTAGTATATCACTGATTGCCAGATCAAAAACTTTAGATTGTAATGATCAAATCAATAGTCTATTAAAGTCTGAAAGGTTGTCTGTTATATAACATTATCATCCACCTAGCCCCATGCAAAAGTATATAAATAAAACAATAAAATCCCCCTAACTGACTCGTGGTTCTGACTCATGTTTATAATGAGAGTCTGACTCATTTTTTAAAAATCTTCTTGGCCAAATGAGAGCAAAATTCCTTCACAAAGATAATTGATTTACTGTTTAGCAGGTATATGAAAGTGGTTATTAAGGGGTTCTTAAAGAAAAGCTACCACAAACATATAAAATAGTTGTTGGGTTTTTTTCTTATTGTCATTGTGGTACCTGAATTTTATCTTGAGCGTATTTGAATGAATCATCCTCATCTATGCCCATGTAAGAACAGAATGTGGCTTTCTGCAAGTTAATGTAGTGAGAAGTAAAAAGGTAAGTCGTTATAAGAAAAGGAAATGAATAGATGTTATTTTGCATAATGTCTGCACTAAGTTAAAAGCTAAACCAGGAAGGAAGTTACCATCACTGTGCTAGATGGGAGTGCTTCAGTGACATGTGCTTGCTTTTGAGAAAACCAGTAGTCTTCAGATTAGCACTAGGAATAATTATATTGTTTATTTTGTGTTTACCCGAATTTTTCAAAATCCATGAAGGTGAGTGATCAGCTTTTAAAATAACCCTTTATTTATTCCGAAGTCTGCAATTGAAGTGTTGCCACGTGCTTTCTGAAAAGCAATGGTTAGGATGCTGCACACGTGGAATTTGCACAGGATATAGACTATTTTTGTTAGATTTTTAACCAACAGAATTAATTATATGCAGTAATTTGAAGTGAGTTTGTAATTAATTTACATACACTGCAAAATTTTTGTTAACTATTTCCATGTAGCAGCATTTTTACTGCCTTCATAATGAAGAAAGTAGTTAAAGTGCTTATGTTCTTTTATAGCAGGTGCTCACATCTTCAAAAACAACTTTTTAGAAGTTTTTATACTTAAATGCTGTAAAATTTTCTGTAATTACTATCTGGTAATGAGATGCTGGCTGTGAAAGAGATATGAAGTGGTAATCTGACAAAAAGTAGAGCAGAATAGATCTGAGTAAAGCAAATCTTGTAGCATAAATGCCAAATACTTCTTTGTGATCCTAAAGGCTGATACTGGATTTAGGATAAATGCAAACTATGCATGTGTGCAAGTTACTCATTCAGTGCTTTTTTTTAAAGTCTATGAGTAAATTGATTTTAAAATAGTTTTGTCACATCCATTCCTAAGAAAGCTTTGTATTTGTAAATATTATATTAAAAAGCACCCCTTTGACAAAGAGTGTATTCTCAGGCATAATAACATAATTTCTTTATGAAGCATATAATTTTCTGGAAAAAATTACTATCAAAATATCCAGATTAGGTTACTTATATTTTTTTTATTAACCATGAAGAATGGACATATCAGTAATTAGAATATAATGCATAGGTTCTAATAGTTTATAAATTAACAAACTTGGTAAACTGTCATAAGTTTTGAATATTGTAACATTTATAATTCCGTTTAAGATGTTGGAATAGTTAATATTTTACCTCCATGCAGAAGTGAACAAAGTATTTGTAGCACAGATTATGCAAATAAACATTTACAGGACTATTATCAGAAGAAAACATTAACCTTAGTGTCAAACATCAAAGAGTAATTATATTTTTCCATAATAGTTTTTCTAGATTGCTCTTATTGGCCATGCTTTAGGCTGCAATAGTGTGATCACTGCAATTCTGTCTTAGTCACAGCATGTCTAAAATAAGATTGTGAAGTATATGTGCAGAGCAGAATTATAGTTGGAGCAGCACAGATTTATATTTGGAAAATTAGACTTATTGCTGCATTTGGGATGTTTCAAAAACTAAATTACTATATAACAGGCTGTGTAATGATGTCTGAATTACATTAGAAAGTAAATATGTTGAACAATTTATTAAAAATCTCTAAGGATTTTGGGTCTCTGGTTGATCAAAAACTTTCTGTTAAAAACCAGTTTTACTTCAGATTTTGTAACAAACCTAAAATGTACAGAATTTTTTGTAAATGTTTCAAATTTCTGGTTACACCATGAGGCTGCAGCAGACAGAATTGTTGGAAATCTTTGAGATGTGAAATATAATCACTGGCTCTTCCTCTGCAAGTTCCTAAATGAATGTCAGAGAGCTCCTAATTCCTGAATGTCTTATCCCAGGGGAAGTTCCAGCATTTACTTTCATTCTGGAGAGGGAATAAAAATGGAAATTTCTTATTATACAAAAATCTAGGGGGAAATCAATTTGCAGAAAAAAAATACTTTAATTTTTTTTTAGAAGAATACAGTTCAGCATTACCAGAAGTGAAATGTTTCTTTTCTATTTGTAAAGCAACCCACTTGTTTGGCTACAAGTCATTGAACCTTTAAAATACACTGATTTAGAGTAGGAGGTTATCCTTTCGGTGTCTGATGCTTTCAATCCCAGTCCTATCCCTTGGATCCTGATACTTTATGGAGTGTATCTCCTTTAATCTATCAATTGTGTATTCCCCAACTTGTACCTTGTATCTTTAGAAGGACTACAGCTTCCATAAGGAAGTGATAAGAAATGCAATATACAATATACTGTATACACTGCTGCTCTGACTTCAAATAGAATACTGCAGATCAAATGAAAATGAGTCAAGCCTATGCAAAGTGAAATATTTGTGATATGCTTAATGGGAAGCAAGGTTTTTACTAATTTTCATCTTCCCTGTGAATAATTTCATTTTATTGGATTTAGATTTTATATGAAAACCCACCCTGTAAATAGAGGTTTTATAGAATAATTTAATAATCATAGAACTTCTTAATATTAAGCATATGGTTGCAGGTCTTTGAATATAAAACAGTTTCCTAGAGTTACTTTGCATGGTTTCATCTCAGCAATCCTTTTTTGCTATTCAGGCTGCCTGTGTTCAGATTTCACAAAACTGCTTCCACATTTCTAGAGTGATGTTTACATTTGGGAGGGTCCTTCCCAGTCCTGCAGGAAGGAAAAAGGAGTATGGTATGGCTCTCTGCCGTGTAATCCTCTGGGAAAGTGTAGCGTTGTTGTGGCCTTTCTTCAAGTGTCAAACAATCTATATCCCTCCTAAGAAAGGCCTTAGTCCTGTGACAAAGGCCTTAGTCCTGTGACAAGTTTGTTTATGCTAGATCGTCATTTGATTTGCTTTCTCAGTAGAGGCCTTTCAAGAGGATGGTAAGCACCCTCCCTAACTCAACAACATTCACACCTTTTCTAATCCACACCTACAACACGGGTCACAGGCAGCTCTGGAATCTGTTTAGCCATTTGTGGAGTTCAAAATGGACTTTGCAGTGCTGAACATAGATGTCTGTCACAGTCCAGTCAGCAGATTCCCAAGTCCATGTACAGACTTTTTGGTGAAAAGGATATGTTAGGGAATTATGATTACTTGTCCTTGAAAGCTGTAGCAGTGTTTTAGACTGGTTGCCCAGGTGCCATGGTTTGCCATGAGAGCAGAGTAAGCATTCAATTTTTCCTCCGGACTCATCTCCACAGACAAGTTCTACACAAAATGCCTCTTTCAGGTGGAACAATTTGTTCTCAGAAGCCTGCTCAATGACCTGTTGTCTGGGTCAGATTGTAAGCATTTCAAGGAAAATACTTTGTGTTTTCTCAGGGAAAGATCAAGTCCTAAATTTTGTCTGATATTTTTCCTTTTTATATCAAAATGAACTTTTTCTTACCTGTGTGTTTTACATTTCAATTTATTGTGTTTTATTTCTGTCTGTTATGACTCTCTGATGTAGTGTTAATAAAGGGATGATAATTGACTTTGACATTGGAGCTTGGATTTTATTTCTGTATCCTGTCTGGAATCTCTTACTGAACATTTTCTGAGGCCAGCCTGCTGCTCTGTGAGTACAGATGGCCTGTTGAAGCCATCAGAGTGCAGCTGAGCACTGGAGCAACTAAAGACTGTACTTTGCTGTCTATACATAGGGATTTAAGATCACATTGCTCCAGTTGCTCATAATGGGAGGTAGATAAAAATTTTTCTCTGTGTAGAGATGCAAGGGTACTACTAGAATTGGAAACATAGCTATAAAACTGTAGGTTAGTGCGTCATCAGCTCTGGGAAGTGGTTATTCATAAATACATATTTCATGTTGGGGTCACACAAATTTTTTTATTCTTGATTTTTTTGTATGCTGGAAAAGTAGTTCAAGGTTAGCACAAGTAAAAATTTGCATGATAAAGCTCTACTGTAATGTGGAAGACAAACCACACTTATTTATAACTATGTGGTTTTTGCTTCTTGCCTTGCCAGAACTGCATTAATGTACTCTAGCTACAGTACTTTGATAATGAAATTTGACTATGAATACTAAACCCAAAAGTCATAATTAAAATCCAATGTTTGTTGACTGAATAGAAAAGAATGTGAAGGGTGTGGCTAGAGGATTCAGCAGCATTTCTGTGTATTTTCACTCTGTGGTTTCAATGTCATTTGGAAAGAAAGCTTTCATTCTGATTATAGGTACTTTACAACATAATTGCATTGGAGTGTTGCAACTGCACTGTTCCAGGGCAGACTTCCCTCTCCAAACCAGTTTTCTCTTCTTTTGAAGAAGCATAAATGTGCTTTCTCTTCTTTTGAAGAACAGTCAAATTGGAGCAGCTTTGAAATGGGAATGAGACTAGACACCATCACAAATTCCAGTTACTATTACAAGAGTTTTAATACAATTCAGCAAATAAAATACAGGATCTAAGTTGTGGGAAGACCCTGTGCTTTCTTTCTCTTACATATGATGCATTCAACATTCTGTCATAGCTCTGAAGAAAAAAAAAGTGCATTTCATCATAAGATGGTTGGAATATCCACTACATGATGCTTCTACGCACATACTTGTCCATGTGTCCTATGTGATTGTCTGGCTAATATAGCACTCTTTCTTTTACAGCTAACACTGTAATGGTGTCATGCATGGATACCTGTTCGTTAAGTAACATCGCTTTTCCACTTTGTACTTTTAATAATTCTTATGAAAGATCAGTGAAACAAAGAAGAGAACACCAGACTATTTTGCTGAAGGTCATTGTAAATAATTCCAGTTTCCAGAATATTCCATGTATTTGCCAGTCATCCTGGAGGGAACAACAGTCCCACTCTAAACAGACAGAGTGTGAATCTAAGAGGGATGTGAATGTTGAACATCAAGGATCAGGATCAAAAGCTAAAAAAAGTAAGTAGGATAAGAGAAATACTTATTTTTGAAGTAACTAATTACAAAATAAAAGACAAGTTTTTATTTGATACTTAGAAGAAAATTATATGCTCCTGGTTCTCTATGGTCTTTGCAAGTCTGTGCAATGGGGGTTTTTAGCATGGGTAGAAAATGCAGATTTTGTGTCAGATTCTCAGTGGCATTCATTCCTGACTGTCAGTGAAACATGTTGGTAGCAAGCACTTTCTAAAGTACTTAATTTATTCCTAAGGAGTTGTACCTTCTGACAATTTTTCAAGCTGAATTTGCTTTTAAATGTCATTGTGGAACTCTACATGTAGATTGCTGGCATTATAAAGATAGGTTGTGAGCAAGTATCTGAAGAACTAATTCAGTAGGTAACTATTCTGATGGCAACTATGTAAGAAATAACCATTTCTGTGTTTGTAGTCTACATTATCAAACTCTGTATAATATCAGAAATGGCCTTACAAGTTTTATAGAAAGCAGCACTGACTAAGGAATGGCACAGTAATCCAGAGGAGAGTTAGCAACACCCACATCTTTTCAGAGCAGTAGCAGCACATTCCTTCTGCGCCATACACACTTCAAATATCTGCAAAACTTTGGGGAAGAGGATACCTCTTTCTAACATTGTCAGCAACAATAGGCCAAGTCCTGAATATGAGAAATTCAGTTATTTTCCAACAGCATAATTTCCTTATTAGAAAATAGTTGTATTAACAAGTATGAAAAAGAAAAAGTTATATATGGACAACTGTTCTCAGTTATATATGTACAACTAACACTTTTGACAATGTCTCACCTATTTCTTGTAAACATAGCACAAGTCTCACAGCTTGTGTGGTTTGAAGCAAAGCAAGGACCTCCTGCAACTGATAGCAGATAGACAATGTGCACACTTCAAATCTCTATCATCATACAGCTTCTGCCTGGGTTCTATCCTTCTCATAGCCTGATTTTTGCCTGTTGCCTTTGACAACTGACAACAAAAACTACAACAAAAAAAGGGTGATAGTAAAGCAAAAAAGTGTTATACTTTGCAGGAAAAGGTTATACTTTGCTCTTCAGATCTGTTCAGAGTAACTTTACACAGTATACATTTATCCATCTTTTTCATAGTCAGTGATGTAGAAACCTGTATGTTTTTGCAAATGAGACAGAGAATTCACTGTTCTTTTTGAGAAAAGTTTCTTGGTCTAACACTTGAATAACAGTTTTGTTTTAATTTTTATTTCCAAAAGCAAAAGGCTCGTTTGAAGTGAAAACAGAAAATGTTACTTATTTTTATAAATATTTTAATTTCACTACGGTTTCCAAGAAAGAAGTGGAGCATAATACGAACTACGTGGTGGAAATCCACATTAACAATTCTATAGCTGGAGGACGAAATGCAGCTGACAAACAACTAAATCATTCTTGTCTCTTGGCAATGATGGAAGAACAAAATGACTGTATAAATATTTCACTGCAACTGAAGTCTTATATGGAATGTAAGTTACAAAGGAGAGTTAGAATGGAAATGAAAGTAGAAATAATATAATCTTGCAGAAAAACCTCATGTAGGTAGTTCTCTGCTTCCAGACACCATTTGAAAATATTTGAATATTTCACAAGAAGAGAGTACAATTTTGAACATCCCTTATTAAAAAACAATCCATAGTAGAAAACTGATGATTTTGATAATGATTTAAAGCAGGTTTAGCTGTGCCCTTTCTTTTCCTAGAAGAAATACAGCAAAGTAAAAATATGTACATTGTTTTTTGCGTAGCAGCAACAAACTCACACATTGCATGTGACAAAACTTGGAAATACAATTTTTCCTTTCCTGATAATGGCATAACTCTGTTGTCTTGGAGGTAAATTTAAAAGTCCCTGTTAACTACGGTAGTAAAAGAACCAGGAGGTAGGTTTGACCATTCTAACATACTGCAATAGCCTCACTATAGTATGCTTAAAAGATAAATCTTCAGCTGAACTAAGCTTAGTTTTCCCAGAGGAGAGCCTTCAGCTTTTTATATTTCTCTTTGTGCTGCAAGAGTTTTTTGTCTGACTGCCTGACCATGGTCAGGGCTTCCATTCTCTCCATATACAACACTTATCCTTTGGAAATTGCTAAATTATTGCATTCATTTGATTTTGCATGGAAAATGTATTTTATGTTGTACCTTTGCTGGAAAAAAAAATATTTTTTTATAGTTGGATTAATATATGTTAAATAAATCCAGGGAAAATCCTAGAGAAGAAAGGACAGTTTAGGATTGTTTTGGGTTTTTGTTTGTTTGGGATTTTTTAAAATAAGTGTGTCTAGCCATGAGAGGAACATAATTTGTAATTTGCCCTGCTAACTCGAGTCAATACTATGAGCTAACTACCCTTTACTAATTTACTTGGGTAGTAGTAATCTCATATTAGCAATGAAAATTAACAATAGGTCTTTTTTTTCCACTTTAATTCAAAACAGCTAAAGAGGTGCTCAGGGCTTTTACTAAGACTGATAATCGCGTCTTTCAAGCCAGTACAAGATGGGGTAGAGTGCTCTGTTTAAAAGGAGCCTAGATTACTGTATAAAAGTTATTTTTAGTTCTAAATTAGGAGGAATGAGCCATGGGGTTTGCTGGCATTTGCCTCATGTGTTCTTGATGGAGAGGATACAAGGGAAGTTAGAGTAAGTCTAATTATACTGTTCTAAGTCAGGGAAGGGAAACAGTGGTTTGGCTACTGTCTGTAATTTGTTTTTTTATGAATCACAGTAACATAGCTGTTTTTAAAAACAGTTATTTGACAGTGCTAAGGTATACATTAACATGCAGCTGCCAAAGAAGTTTGAAAGGCCATTCAAACAACCAGAGGGGAAAATTCTCCACATCATTTCTTTGTCGTATATAGTCCTAACTTGTAGTAGTTATTGAACAAAATCCCTGTGGAATGTGGGTGCATTTCTGCAGCAGCTGCTGTCCAAAAGAGCAGCCTACCTCCTGCATCCAGTCCCATGTGATTCTCCCTCAAGGCAGCTTTAGTTAAAGGAATTCCCCAGAGGGCTCCTGTTGGTAGCATTTCCTCACTTCTTTTATAAGAAAATTTATATATGTAGAATCTTGCCTTCTCTCATATATGAAGATGGACCAGGAGGTTAAGAATGCCGGTACAGACCAATGTTGGACAATGGACTGATTTCTTCCATGTTTTATCTAGACAGAGGGGACATATATTACCCTTGTTCTACCTTAAATATAAATGTTGATCTTTGAAGCATTTTCATTGGCTGAGCTGAAAAGTTTTCATTCACTTAGTCATCTCTATTTCAGCCGTGGGGAGATATATAGACATATAGATATAGATATTAAATTACAGGCAAAAATTAAGCTAAATTCTAGACAGGAAACCTAACATCAAAAAACAAAGAAGGCTGAAAGAAAAAGGCATAATCCTTTTTGTTTGTTTGTTTTATTTTGATCTGTGGGGATAGGCACAATCCAAAAACCTGCCAAGATGGAGTGTTCTGCTTTTGTCTGCTGCCAGTGATTTGCTGCTTAATTTTGTCTCTTGTACATTTTATGGACAGATCCAATGTGTATGGTGAAGATCACTTGGTTCATTATGATTCCAGTAGTTTTTGTATTTACTGTTTCAATCGTCATCTACAAAATAGTCCAAGAAAATAAACAGAACTGTAAGTAAAGTTAATCTGCATGAATTTAACTTTCTATGCAAGTAAAAATATATTAATTTATAATAACAAAACTGTTGCTTATTACTGTATCTCAGACACTGATATTTTGATTGTCAAATGGTAAAATCTTCTTAGAGACTGACTGAAGTACTCAGATAATTGATAGTATCACCTCTTCGGTGGATGCAAAAACTGTGGATGAAAATCCAAGCTTGTGGATGGCAAATTAAATTTTTGATAGATAATTGGTGGCTTAATGATATGAACTTCTGGTTTCACACTGATTTAAGTAGATGAAACAATTACTTAATTACTTACAATTACTCACAATTACTTAAACTTTGTGGAAGGTTTTAACCAGAAATGCCAATGATCAGTATAAGTGAATTGAAATACCCTTTCCTTCCTGAAGATGATTTATTTAGGTGACAGTCAGGAAAAATTACAGAATGGATATAAGGAAGTATAAACTCATCTGTCTGTCTTAAATACTGGCTATTCAAATTCTTTGGTGATGTAATCTCATGCAGGGCAACCAAGGTGTGCCTTGATAAGCCCAGAGCTGAATTAAGCCCAGATAATATTTCATCTCTTTGCTATTATTTCAGCAAACAAAACATTGCTGCGCTTTCTGAACCATCACTATTGACTATTCCAAGTCATTAGAACTTTGCTATGAGAGAACTTGCCATTAGTTCAGAGACTGAAACAATTGCTTCTATAATATTCCTTCAGCCAAGACAGGCTCTTCTCTTGGGATACAGGCTGAAATCAGACCTGCAGTATTTTCTCTATCAATAGACAATGATAAAACAAGAATAATATTTTAGGAGTACCCTGAGCTTGAGATCTTTGACCAATCAAGGTAAAGTCCTCTGCACAAAAACAGTGCCGAAAATTGACTGCTTGACAGATGCTGGTCCTTGTTTCTCTTCCCAAGTCAGAAGTAGGTGGTACCAGGAGCACATTACCTTCCATCACTGTGAAAAGAATATTACTTAAGCTGTTACCTGAGGGAATAACTCTTAGGTGCTTTTTACAGCAGTGTCCAGAGATATTCTGCTTGTGTCAGCCCTGAGTGGGCAGAGCACCTCCAGACAATTGGCATTTAGTTACTGTTCCCAGGCAGATGTCCATTCCCCCCGTAGTTCAGAGGTGCTAAAAGGAACAGCACCCTGCTCACAGGGATAGCAAAACAAATAATAAACCATATCCATTCCCCTGATCATCCTTGCTGTATGCACCGGTAATTTCTTAATGAAGGAGCAGTAGAAGTCTAGCTTTAATCATAACTGACCAGGAGGAAGAGTAGTGCCCACACACAAAATGTTTCTGTGATTTTTTTGCATACTGTAAATATTTTATGCATATATTTCTAATGAATAAGCAAAGTAATTGCTTGAGATGTCAAGTTTGTACCTTCCCTGCCCCAATGAAAGGAACTCCTTACCAGATTATGTTGCTTAAAATGCATGATATTGTACTTATTGCTAGAACAAATTTCTGAGACATATTTCATGTATACAAAACCCCACAAAGTGTAAATTAGGACTTTATAAATGGGATATTAAGTGCTCTAATTTAAAGGACTTTTATTTGTAATTTCAAAACTACTTATAAATGTCATGTTTCTGATTTTCTATTGTCATAACATTATCTTTTTAATGTAGAACTTTAAGTAGTGATGATTAATGATTTAGTACCTTTATTCTTAAAGGTATCACTTTTTTATTAAATTCAAGTTTTCAGAATCATCATGAACACCAATAGGGAGGAAAAGATGCCCTTTTGAGGCTTCTGATTACTTACGAGCTTCAAGGATACATTTTCTGCTAATTGAGGAAAAGTGGGTTTATGAGTTAAATTTATAAGATATAACATTATAACCAACATCATTATGTCACTGATAAAAAGACAAGCGCATAAGAAATAAAACTTAAGCTTTATGTGTATATATTCATCTGCCACCTTTCATTGCAAGTCTATACACTAATTTTTTTCAGTGGTGCTCAATAGAGCAGAGCATTACTATGTTCCTAAAACAGCTGTTATTAATTTTTCCAGCCATAATTCAGTTAGCAGTTTTTCTCTTCATTTCTGAGCACCACTGAAAGCAGTAAAGACATGTGGAATTATTAATTTCCTCTTGAGACCTTGCAAGATGTTCTGCTAGGTAGATTCTGAGATTCTCTGAATCATTAAGCCATTTTCATGAGTGCATAAAATAAAATATCCAAATAAACTTGGTGGAGGTTACAATTGATTCAATACAAAGGCCCTAAACTAGAAATTGTTTTGCTTTTTCACATCCACTCTTGTCTCATGAACATTTCCAGACCTTCCTTTGATATTAACTGTTACAGTGAATGCATGGGGCTTCAGCGTTTTAGATCTCCATTGGCTATTCATAAAAAAATTCATGACCTAAATAATTTTAACTTAGTGAATATTTTAGTGTTCTCAAAGGAAGAAGATAAAAATAAATTCTGTTACATAGAATTGGAGTGAGCCTGTTGCCAGGAGCTGGCTGAGCCCTGGACCACAGTCAGTGCTGAACAGGGCTAACCACAACATCTGCACAACCATCCACAATAAACCCACTGAGAGTGGTGCCTTGAGAAGGCTGACCTAGAACAGAGGCTAGACAGAGTAAAGAATAAAGTAGGTATTTATTGAAAGGCCTTAAAGGATATACCTTGGGCAGTGCAAGAGCCTGGCTGGGGCTACACCCAAGATGGACCCAAAAATAGCCACAAAATGGTCATGAGATCTCACATTTTTATAAGTTTTGGTCCATCTGCATATCAGGGTTAATTGTCTAATCACTGTTTCAGGTTATGAAGTCCCATCCTTCTTGTTTTCTCTCTTCAGTCCACCGTTGTTTATGCTTTTGGGTCTGAAACTTGTAACGACTATCCTTGGTATCAGGCTAGAAAAGGAATTGTTTTGTCTACCTCCCCTGTGAAGAGAGCTCACTAACAGTTAATAAGAAGTTCAAAGCTAGTCAACACAGAATATGAGAAATATGAAAGCTAAAACTTAAGGCATCAAGAGCACAGCATTTATAGAGCAGCAGAAGGATGAAAAGATGGAGAGTTTATGAACTGAGTACTGAGGAACAGCTAGAGGTGTCCAATCCAGCTCTAGCTTTGTCAGTGGTGTGGAGCTTGCTCTCACTGTGCTTTCCAAGATAAACACCCCACACTAGCAAGGAATCTGTCAGCTTCCTAGGATGCCAGTACACTCCATCCTTGCTACTCCACTGTCAGCAGTGAGAGTCCAAACCTATACTGAAACATGTACTTTTCTTGATATCCTTCTAAAATTTGTTCAAGGTACACAGTCTAGAAAAAGGCAAGGAATAATTTGAAAGGGACAAATCTGAATGAAATTTCTAGAAAATTTCCTTCAGGAAAATACAAATCATCTGGCCCTTGGTTTTCCTCATCACCTTATTCCAACACTTTCCTGAGTTTTTGTACACTTTCCAAGGTATTCAACAGTTTCATAATAAGGGGTTTACAAGCTTTCCTTCTAATCAAGGTTGATGCTGACACATTTTGTTTAAAGCAGATTATAAACAGAGAGTAGCAACATCAGTTTCTACTGTTCTGAGAAGAAATGGTTCCAGGCATGCAAGAAGAACTGTATCTGCTACTAAAATTCACCCTTTTCCTGGTAAGTAATATAAAAGTAAAACAAAATTTAACAAATCTTGAGGCATGAGGAGGTCAAGAAAGATCTTTTAAGATTTTCCTCCCAAGAGATGCTTCGGGTTTCAGAGTTACCTTGGTCCTACAGAGTTACCTTGGCCAGATTCAATCTGGCTTATGTTAAGGAAACACTTTATTATTATAAAGAAATAAGTATGACAATAAAACTATATGAAGATTTATATCATGTGGGAATTCTTCTCCCAGTCTTCCCAGTGTGTTGCATTAATGACTTTGAATTTTTTAATTTTTGGTCATTTTGTGCGCCAGTTTTGAGGTTTGGCAGCTGAATGCTTTGTGTGTGTACAAAAAGTATACAGAAATATACACATGTATATGTATGCTCTATATGTTTGTGACTCTTGATAAAATTTGCTACCAAAGCTTGGAATGAATGACTCTAGCAGGACTCAATAAATGGTTTTGCTGGCCCTTCATAGCCTATTTCTAGAATCAAATTCCCACAAAATGCAGTTTTTTAGTTTCAGATAGGTAAAAAATTGTGGCCTTTGACAAGTGTAGTATGTTTAGCACAGATAAATTAAACGGTGTGGCTAAACTCAATGTTTGGATTCTAGAAAACTGGACTTGGCAACAAATATGTGTGAGGGAAAATTACCTGTTGTTGCTTGAGTGTTACTGACATTGCTCAAAGAGTGAAATGTTGTAATAAATTTCATGGATTCGGGTTTTGTGAAGGGAGCTATATCTTTAAAAAAATTAACAGGAACATACAGAATAGTAGCTCTGAATGGCAAACTAAACTCCCTTCAAGACAAGAAAAATACAAAGCCAGCAAATGTAAAAAATGGTTTTAAATCTGACTAGGCTTAAGTACTTCACTTTTTGTTTTGCAAGTTCTTCGGGAGTAAGAAGAGACTCAATAATTTATGTCTGCAACTCAGTATTTCATGGCATTTCAATTTTACCTAGAAGAGAGTGAATAGCTTCTTGTCTGTCTGAACTCTCCTGTGGGTAAAATTTATGCTTCTTGCTCTTAAAGCACTGGCTATCTCTGAGATATATTTATGAGCTCGTTATTTTCATTCTGTAGGAAAGGAATTACTTTTCTGACATCTGTTGTCTTGACTAGCTTCACTAATATCATACCTGTCTTATCACATGTTCAGAACGACATTTTTAATGTTGTATATCTAAGGCATTCTTGATGAGGGTGTCTTATGGAAATTCAAATCTGGTTTTACTAGATTTTACTGAAGATAATAGGAATCCCTTATTGGTCTGTCATTCTCTTTTAAGTGCCTCCTCACTACAATTGATCCATGTAACCCAGAAAGATGCTTAGTTGCATGAACTGCTGTAATGGGATTTGTTTTAATATAAAATTCCTTGGTTTCACACACCATCATTTCAGTCAATACAATCAATTTCACAGTTTATACCAATATAATTTAAAATGGAATCAAATGCATATGAAGAGTTTATTCTTTCCACAGTTGCTAAGCTTAGCATTTGCTACCATGATAATGGATTATAAATAGCTACAGATGACTTTGTTGACAGCCCTTGACAATATTTTCCCTATAATTACAGCATAGCTTGCAATCTTGAAAAAAAAAACCTTTGAGATCCACTGAAGACAATACAATTGCCCTGGAAACACATAAATGAGTACTTGAGAGGATGTGACAGTATGTCATATAGATGAAAAGATGTATAGGTACTACTAAAAGGTTATTTGAAGTTAAGAGATTATATTCTTATTATAAGAATAGAAGAAGGAAGAGGGAAGCCTATACTTTGAGAATGGGAGTGAATTCTTAGGAAGCTTCCTAAGCTCAGTAAATTACTAGCTTAATGTCACTGTGGTCCTACAAAAAGGTAATTTACAGCATGGATTTTAGTTTTGTGAAACTGTTAGTAGCTTTATATCCATGAATCACTGTCATCAAGTCCAGTGACTGGAGGATAGGGGGGAAAATGTATAGAATGTTCTCTAGGGAAAGATTAAATTTACAACCTTCCAAATTCACAGTACTGCAAAGGATTAAGCACATATAGAGAGGAGCGAGAGGAGGATCGGAGCGCTGCCGGCAGCCCCGCCCGCTGCGGCCGGGCTGGATCGC